ACTTATAAACGTAACAAAAGTTGCATCTGCGTAATCATTTATTTTGTGTAATGTGTGACAAATGTATTCAAGGCAGTTGAAAAAACACCATGTTCACCAGCAGGTGTTTAAAACACATGTCCGCCATAATTCCATAGTATTTAAAACTGCTGCAAACATCTTGGCAATTGGAAATTCTAAATCTTGTCATATTATAATGTAGTGATTATTTGTTTCTAATCTTACAATTATAGCATGTTAATCATGGGTTTACAAGACAGGTGTACATTTTACAAACCTTTTCAGCAATCTTGCTAATTTGTTGGAATGGCAAAGGACAAAATGTAATTTTCTTATGTGATTTTTTCTCTAATGTATAACAGATACCTTGTTCTCAATTAATTACTCTAACATCACCTGCATTACTATTATCAGAAGCAAGATCTCAGAGATTTAAAAAAAGATAATTATTTCCTTATCCAAAATCTCATAAATCAAACAAGTATGTTCCAGAGCTGATTTAATTTGTTTAAAAGCAGAAAAATTACAAAAATTTTATGCTATAAATTTGACCTGATTTTCCACTCATTTCAGCATTTTTGTTGTCTCCTTATGCAGTATAAATCAAAGAATAGAATATATACAGCTGAATTATGTAGTTAACTTGCCTACAGGAGATGTTTTTCATTTTTATCTGATAGAAAAACATTTCTTTTTGACAGTTATATTGCACTAGAAGCCACTGTTTCTAGTAATTTATCAGTTTTTCATATTCTTTTGTAAATTACATGCTATAAATAAGTTCTTGCATGCAAATCATATTTTTTGCTTGCTTATTAAAGGAAAATTGGAGCATGTTTTTTTTTGTATTTCATTAACTTTGATCACCATAAATTTAACAATATTTTGTAATCAGCATTTTCACATCAGAGATATTAAAACCATTTACTGCTATCCAATCTTTAAAATGTTCTACACAACTCAGATGTAAAACAAAATGTTTTATGAGCAACTTAATACCTGACCAAATGACCAACTTGAAGAAATAATACTTTTTATCGATTGTTGTTGTAAAAAGATCTTTTGAAGAAAAGTCACTTACTATAGATTTATGAAATATGCAAAAGTATGTGAATCATCTCAATACATAATTCAAAAGTTTCAGAAGTCATTGATAATAAAACAAACAAAATCAGTAAAGTGATATGTCACTTTAACTGTTGCAGACGACAAACCACAACCGTCCTGTAACAAAAGCTAATGACAAGTGCGCTAACCTGGGAACACCCCCTATTTACCTACGCTATTCATGTGACTAATACTGGCTCCAGAAGTCTACATTAGCAAACGTTTAACCTTAAAAATTAAAGAGATGACCCCAACTATTTTACGAGCAGTTAAACTGTTTTTGAGACTTTTTACATCAATGGCTGTCAATAGTTGACTGTTATAAGTGGCTATTAATTACAAACATTTATGTAAAGAACTGGACCTATAATAGAACCACTTAAGTCTGAAGAGGGTAATCAGTACAGTATTACTTACATAAACTTACATCTTTAATGTAATGACATTTGAATGAGAAACATCAACATAATTTATTAAATTCTATACCCATTCTGCATGCTTTTCACACTTCAATGCCAATAAATCTGACTCAAAACTTCATAAAATCCTTTACAAAAATAATATTGGATTTTATTTCTGTCTTAATTTCCTCATCAAAATTTTCATTCATAACAAAATGATGCAGATGCGAAAAATGAATGCATGACTAGCTGTAAAACTATATTATTATTTCATAATGCATATAATACACTGTGAGACATGTCGATACAGTTGTCAGTGAACCGTTACCGTGGTAGCAGGATTAATGGTATTAAAGATCAATGTACCGGATTGTATACTAACATTAAAACTCATGTTTGAATATCTGCATTTAATTCATGCTACAATCATCCATTCATGCAGTGAGAAATGCAAAACATTGCTCTATTATGCATATTTAATACACTTGATGTGGTAAAGCACTGTTACAAATTGATTGAATTTCAATACTTTAATAGTATCAGTCATGCAAGCGGACTCGGCCCTGTGTGACTTGTGTTTGTTAGTTCAAACATGGGTTTGTATACAAGGGATTCTCATCGGGGTTGCTAGTACAGATGCACACTTGTTTCTATACAAATAGTAGTAAATATTCCCTGTACTGTACATTCAAATTCAATTGATGTTATAATTTATCTTGGTAAGAAAACAATTATTTTGTTATTATTCAGAAATTCATTTTAATGATATATCAAACAGAAGCCAATTAGCTTAATGTAATCTTCACCATAAGAAATTCATATATATTAATGTAAAGAGAAAAGCGATCTACTCAAACAAATTTATAAGAGTTATAAATGGAATTATAATTGTATATTTATCTAGCAATAAGAAATGATTAAGATTTAATATGAGCGAGGCCACCATCATTTATCAATATATGCAATATTTTTTTTTTGGAAAATTGATTTCTTTTTTTTCTTTTGTTTAAATACAAAGTATTTGAGAGAAACAATCATGATTTATTAATTTGCAAAATTTGATTTTCATTTTATAAGATAAAACTTACAGAAACATTTGCCTCAATTGTGAGCATCTTTTTTTTCCATTTTTTTTTAGAAAATTGATTTTTTCTTTTTGGTTATTTAAATAGTTTTACAAACTATTTCTGTTGTTAATGACTTGTTGTTGACTTTATGATCAGTTAAGATTATAATCAATGTTTATTGTAAATACACCTCACACTTAAATCATTACTAATGTGACTCACAAGTCAAAACCCAGGAAATGAACCATTATAGCAAGGTAGCAACAAAAATATTCTCCTGATATATCAAATATTCAACAGCATCAATTTGTGGAATGAGAAAACTAACTCTAGTTGGAGATTCTTTTCTTCAATATTAAACTTCCTCTCAAATCATTAAACGGAACATTTTAAACAACATTTTGAACATAAGTACTACATATATTGAGTCATATACATGTAGTAAACATGTACATGTATATAACTATGATGTTAGTACATGTATAATGCTAACTTCTGCCTTGCACATAAAAATTGACAATACAATAACTGTGAAAATATAATAATAATAATAACAAATTCATTGATAAAAATTTCGTATAGTTTGACTAGTATTGGATGTTGCGATAGTGTTTTGTTAATTATGACCAGTTTTTTTACTCATGCTGTAACATTGGATCAGCCGATGTTAGTCAGCACCCCTGGCAACTTAATTATGAATAACCCGTTAAATACTTAGAGAACATGTTAATACTTAATATTGACTGACACCTCTGTCAATTACATTGACATCTGGGATACTTCTAGCTGCAAAAATTACTATACTATTATGTAATACATGACCATATCTTTGTAACATTTCACAAAAAATATATAGTTCTCGGTAACAATGTTCAAATATCTGTTATTAATTAGTAGAGACTAGAGAAGAAAAAAAAACTTGTATAAATGTAGAAATTATGTCATGTCAACTGTTTAACGATACATAGAAACAGCTGAAGTAAAGTGTGATATCTTGTTAGAGGGCATTTATTACTTTTCTTATTACTTTCTTAAATGACACTATATTATATAGTATACAGTAATTTGTCTCCCAAATATTCTTATGATTGACTATCATTTTCATAAAATAATTAAATAAACGGACCAATATCAGATTTATCAAAATACCTTTAAATATATATAACTTTCTAAACGAATTTAAAACAAAAAAGAATGGACAAAATTTGGGCCTTCATCTGCATGGCTAAAATCACATAGCTTATGGTATTTGTTGTTAACGGTACATGAAATCAGCGATTAATTAAGGACATATTCTCCTGTGAGATCTGTTATCTAAGTCAATGCCATGGCTCCATCAATCACCTCATATCTACTTACTCTCTCACTCTTCTACATTATCATATATTGCCATTCTTATAAAATCAATATTTTTATGCCCAAAAGTCAACTAGCGTAAAAATTGTATCTAAATATTTGATTTAACGTACAACTGTTACAAACCATTTATTGAGCATAAAAATTATTGGTTTGAGAAATGTTTTACGCAAACAGATGTTCAATAAAAGTTCAATAATAATCATAGAATAAATATTTTTACAGTTCCTCAATAGAATTTGCTGGTCATTGTTAAGGTTATAGCAAAATTACTCGATTTATGCCTGTTTTAAATGGATTTGCTAAGATGAGATCATGGAAGCAAAGAAAAAAATATATATTAATACATTAAATGAATATTTTCATAAAACTAAATGTTGAGCATTTAAAATGAAAATGAACCTACTTTAAACAATGTACTTTAAATGATAATTTTATGGCATTTATAATACAGCATAAATCACAAGCTAGAAAATTTATATATTTGAAATTAAATTGTAATTAAATTTCATTGTTCATATATCATAACAAAACTTGTACTGTATTAGCTTGGATAAAAATGTTTGCAGTAAAACTATTTAATTAAATTATTTCCTGTCTCAATAAGACAAGATGAAGATCATTTTCCTTCTTAATATCATACAGTGCTTGAAGCACATTGATTATTTCTATCTATGAAAGGGTTTAATCATGTACAATTTAATTTTCACCTTCAGCTTGAATATTTTTATGAGATTCACAAATGATATGAGTATGATGAACAAACCAGGAATCAATGAATAAAATATGGTATTGTTATCACTTATTATTTTATCAAAATAAAAATCTCTTTGAAACTTTCACAATCAAAGGAAGTATTATTCTTTAATGAAACTCAGGAGTACAATTGAAAGTTTATAAGTTATCTATATCAAAAAATCTTTAATGAAACTCAAGAGTACAATTGAAAGTTTATGAGTTATCTGTAACAAAAATATGAGGAATTATTGACAGATGAAATATTCCCTATTCATGTTTTAGAGCCTACTATTTATAGCTACCAGCACTACACGAACACTGAGATACACACCTTGTGAGACTTGCACATAGCACCTATTGCCTGAGACTCGTGGTTGATATGAGGCCCATCTTGATGACAAATTATGCACATTGGGATTTTACATGTTAAACAATATAAACTTAAAACTTCCTCTGTATGCTCATAACACTTTTGGTCCTTTTGCTTTAATTTAGCACGTAATAATGATTTACCCTGGACCGGGTCCACTAAGTTATGTTTAGCAAGAGGTCCACGTGCAGGATGACAATGTTCCCTGCACGAGTCACAGTAGCACACCTCACATTGCTCACAAACCACTGTTGCATCTTTCGGGCTATCACCTTCACATAATTCACACTTTTGTGGTAAACTTTCCTCTGTTTTAGAATCTGTAATTTTTTCAACAATTATATCCAAAACACGATTTCTAGGCAATGACTGAAAGCCAGTTTCACCTAAATAAGTAACTTTTTTGCATACAGGGCACTTTATTCCATACACGCATCCCTGCGACAATTGAGTTGATGACAAAAAAAGATTATGAATACTTGGTGTACTAATGTAACTACTTGGTCTACTGTTGCAGACAACCCCAGAATCAGTTTCACTGACAATACTTAATTTGTCAATTTCGGGATAGTCCCCTTGGTCCGAATTATTTTCTTCTGTTTGAGGTATAAATTTATCCACAGAATCTTGTAAATTATGGGCACATCCTGAACACAAATTATGAGAACATGACAATAAAACAGGTTTTACATAAAATTTTGTACAAGAGGGACACTTTAATTCCCCCTCCATATTTTCGCACCTTTACCGATCAGCTCTCTTTTGAACTGTGCGGTCTCATCAAACGATACATGATAGACATGTACACAGCGATATCTGAACGTGACTCCGCGAGAGTTTATCGGCAAAAATGTCTGCTCGTGCAGCTATTGGAAAAGTTGGCAAATTTATGCTGAAAAGTAGTATTCAAAACAATTGTTTGAACAAATGTTCCTGTCGATTCTTTTCAGCAAGGTATTATACACTTTATTGCATACTTTAAATAAGATGTTAAACGAAAACAATGCTACAAATACGTAATTTGTTCGCTAAACGAAAGTGATCTTTTAAACGCTTGGATTTTCGTTGCCACTAAGGTAATCATACTTGTTCAAGCGCCTGTATGAAAATTTAAACTTTAAATGTTGCATAATTTTAAGCCACGTCTTTGCTTCTTTATCTATTTAGAGCTTCATTAATGTTTTACAATTCCACAAGTGACTAAGCCAAGTTAGTTTGATATAACTGATTGACAGTGTTAGGGATTTTAGCTGATCCACATAGTATTCAAAGTGCTACAAGTGCTTGTTGATAGCATACTGTAGAGTGAGCAATTCAGTTTGTGTTTAGTTTATAAACAGAACTTATTAGCTCACCTTTTTTATAAACAAATTAAAAGTATTGTCACAATTGTTGGTGTTGCCGTCCACAAACTTTAATCTTGATAATTAGGGCTGTCAGCGGAAATCGCGATATCAATGAATCATCCATTTGATATTGATGCAAAATTTTGAATATCGAGACAATCAATAAAATAAAAGTGTAAAAAAGCAATGAATAAAATATACAAACAATTCAAATTAAAATCCTTGTCATTTGCATTTGAAATTTTAATCTCTGACCTAAAGCAAAACAGCAACCATTATTGTTTACATTGTTAGCGCATGCATCAATCTAATGACATCAGGTAAAAAATTACCAAATTTGTGAATTGAAAATTCTGTCAATAAACACTTGATTCATGGTGCAGTATGTGTACTTTCCGAAATTTAGTGTGCTTTAATCTGTAGACGTAATTTATGAATAACAAGAGAACTTGGTTTCATCTGGTTTTGTTGTATATTTTATGTAAACCATGCGTAACAAACAAAAAAAGACATTTTGAATCATTTATTCCAGTGTGTTTGCATATAGTAAGTAAGTAAGTAAGTAACGACTTTTTTAATGAAGCAACACAGTTGGGCAAGCCCAGTCTTCCCTGTGAGCCTCAACAATATACAAAACAATTTATAAAATATAATACATCAATAAGAGATTAAATAATTACATAAGTTGATTTCATAATTATACATTCAACATTGAAATATGTGAGATCAACCTTGAACATATCTAAATTTTGTTCCAATATATCGATGTATCGTCAATATTTACCTTTTGATATATCAATACAAAAATTTCTATCAATGATAGCCCTATAATGGTAATAACTTTTAAAGTTCTTGGTGTATTATCTTCATACTTGGCCGCAACAACCCTTGGGACAAGACCTTCAAGTAGACCAGACAAACCTTGACATTCATTCATAAATAACATATACCTTCAAGGTGAAATGTCAAATTTTCCTAGTTATTTTGCTGATTTTGCTATTTGTCAAATTTATGAAATTTTGATTTTTCATTATTTTTCTTTTGCTGTAACTGGCTATAACTTTGTTATTAATGAATGGATTGACTTCATGATGTAACACAACATTCTTTAGGATAAGACCAAACAAATTATTGAATTATTTAGATGTGACCTTGACCTTAAATTGACATTGACTGTCAAGGTTAAATTGATGAAATTCACTTATGTTTTTTATTCTGTAACTTGATCTAACTTTGTTATTTATAAATGGATTAACTTCATATTTAGACACAACATCTTTTAGGTCAGGACTTGAATGTATATCAAACTCAAATTGACCTTGACTCATGTATTCAGTTGACCTTGAAGGTAAAATTATTTAATTTTCACTGATAATTACTATAATTACCTACCGGCTCCTTTGTTAAAAGTGGTCTAGTAAATCACTTACCGACCGGTTAACAGGTCTGCAAATAGATACCGACCGGTTATTGTTCTATTGTTCTCTATACAATAGAAAATATGTGAAGTCGAGAAACTCGTGCATTACAGTACACAATATTCACCGTAAAATAACGCTGAATTGTGGGGGAGGGGGTGGATAATGACCACTTTGAATTGGAAAAAGGGTCAATATATATTTTAAAGATTAATCGAAATAATTTAGCGCATACGGCTGTAAGTACCCTCATAACTTATATTCCATATTATTTGTGAGAAAAACGAACTGGCTACTGTTCTGGCGTTGAAGTTTTGTGTTTCGCCGATATTAATGAGTATAACAATGCACATTAAGCCTTTCTTTAAAGTTTGCTTTTCGGTATACCTAACACATTTGCCGAACTATATAGCTTCCTAAGATACTAGTTTTCGGTATTTATTTCCACAACTATGTCTGAATTTGCACAATCCTGCATTATTTTAACAATTCTGCATTATAGGATAAATACGACGATTATATTATTGGTGCATATCGAATCAAAGTCAACTTCTGCATCTTTCTTTCCCAAAATATTACTTTCAGTGAGAGTATAGTTCATCTTAAGTATAAGACCGTTTTTCTCATTTTTTCCCAGTTATTTTTACATTACAATTTGGATTTTGTATACCAGTACCAAGAATACGACTTGCGCTTCCATTCTAGACCGCATGCTTACATGCGGTCTTATAACGGATAATGCTAACTAAGAATACACGGAAAGAAAATTCTTCCAAACATGCATGGATGAAATTCTAAGAACATTTAAAATCAGCCATCATAAAAAACAACAACAAAACCCAACTTACATAACGGTGTAACTACATGTATTACTAATATTTATTCATGGAACCCCGTCTTTTACTTTCCTTTGAAAAAATCGTATATTTTAATTATATAAGAAATAGCCTGATCATCTATTTACCAGGAAATTTATTATATATAAAGATAAAGTGTTCCGTTTTTGTTTTTATGATTAGAAAACATTTTTATCTTCCTCAGTGTTTGTTTATACAATGTATTATTAATATGTTATGTATTCATATATCAAAATAATGATCTTACCTTTCCCTACTCGACAAGTTCTGTTTTCATTTTCTGTGACTCAACTCAACAAGTACATTACCTAATGAAACCCCACGAAAAACACGAGAATATTCAAGTACACCTGATTTGTGAATGAATGAATTACAAGAGCGTAGCGGATGGTACCTTTGCTTGGCTTTGGAATGTTTTCTTAAACATGATAAAGTACATAAGTAATATGTTTCTTGTGAGTAATATTAATAAATACTGAGCTAAAAACTGATGTATTGATAGAAAAACAAAAGAGCATGTAGGTAAGATAGTTACCGCACTCGGAATAGGTCTGCATAGTATTTACAGACCCGGTGGCCTTTTAAAAACCTCGATTGCTACGCTCTCTCGGTCTTCAAATCGCCACCCGGGTCTGTAAATACTATGCAGACCTATTCCTCGTACGGTAACTATTACTTGACTGTAACTTTGTAATGAATCAAAGGATTATTTTCATACTTGGACAAAATCCAATTTCATTTTTTCCTTAAGTGCTGGGGGACTTAGATATTCCAAGATTGTCACCAAAATATGAAAATTTAATTACCATAAACAATCTTTTAATTTATTTTTAGAAGTGAAAACAACTACATATATTTGATTTTACCATCCATATACCAGATTTTTTTTTTCAAAATGCAATTTAACCATTTATTTACCTATACAGTAATTATTGTAATTATATTTTTTATGTCAGGTCAGAAAATTATGAGAAAGATGTATCCACTACTTCAGACAAGATGCACGCTAACCATCTCCTAGCATTAACAACCCAATGTTTATAATACAACAAATAAATTGTACTATTACTTAACATATCAAACAATTTGATATCAAATGATATGAACGAGTGTGGTCTTTAACTTATATACTCTTTATTTATTTTAAATACCATATGCCAAAATTTTAAACAAATGGCAAAAAAAATTACTTTGAAGTATGTTTCATATGTAATTTAAAACTTCTTTAAGTTTCATTGTTTATTAATAAAGTTTTTTTTCTTAATTGAAGCTCAACAGGAGATAGGAAAGAATATGATGTTGTTATTGTTGGTGGTGGTATTGTTGGCATGGCAACTGCCCGGGAACTTATCCTCAGACATCCAACTCTCTCATTTGCTGTCGTTGAGAAAGAAAACAAACTTGGTAGGATATATACATGTGTATACTCAACCAAACAAGTAGCTTGACATTGTTCATTAGTAGTTTATCAACTTTTCTGAAAGTAGCTACAACTGCAGTAAAATAAATTGTTGGACATCAAATGAGCCGCGCCATGACAAAACCAACATAATGGGTTTGCGACCAGCATGGATCCAGACCAGCCTGCGCATCCGCGCAGTCTGATCAGGATCCATGCTGTTCACTATCAGTTTCTCTACTTGTTAAAGGGTTTGAAAGCGAACAGCATTGATCCTGATCAGACTTTGGTTGGTCTGGATCCATGCTGGTCGCAAACGCACTATGTTGGTTTTGTCGTGACACGGCTCAAATTATAACATTTTCTTAACATGAATTTGAACAATCTCAAGTATTGACTTAATTGTTAAATGTTATCATTTTCAAGAATAAGTATAAGATGAGTTATTGTTACTGCAACAGTGCTCCAAATGATTTTTTAGGACAATAAGTTATTACTTCCTGAATATTTTTATAATGAGTAACACTTGAAATCTGAAATTTCGGAGAAGTCCTTGAAATTTATGTTCCTAATAATTAAAATCTTTTATTTGCTTGTGTTTTTAGCTGGACTATTCTAAGAATAGGGAGAGCTATTGTACTCTGCCAGGCATTGGCATTGATCATACTTTGTTATACCCCCAAAAACGAAGTTTGGGGGGGTATATAGGAGTCACTCGGTGGTCGGTCGGTCGGTTGGTCGGTCGGGCGGTCGGTCGGTCGGTCGGTCGGTCCAGACGTCCGTTGCATTTTCCTTGTCCGGAGCATAACTTGAAAACTAATAGTTGGAATTCAATATAACTACATACAATGGTCAAGCACATTGAGAGGAAGTGCAGTGCACAAGAACCATAACTCTATCTTGACTAATTACAGAGTTATTGCCCTTTGTTACTTTTCCTTGTCCGGGGCATAACTTGAAAACTACTGGTTGGAATTCAAAACAACTTCATACAATTGTCAAACACAATAAGGGGAAGTGCAGTGCACAAGAACCATAACTCTATCTAAAGTAATTACAGAGTTATTGCCCTTTGTTGCTTTTCCATTGCTTTTTTTTTTGTCCGTTGCATTTTCCTTGTCCTGAGCATAACTTGAAGACTAATTGTTGGAATTCAATATAACTACATACAATGGTCAAGCACATTGAGAGGAAGTGCAGTGCGTAAGAAACATAACTCTATCTTGACTAATTATAGAGTTATTGCCCTTTGTTACTTTTCCTTGTCCGTGGCATAACTTGAAAACTACTGGTTGGAATTCAAAATAACTTCATACACTTGTCAAACACAATAAGGGGAAGTGCAGTGCACAAGAACCATAACTCTATCCAAAGTAATTACAGAGTTATTGCCCTTTGTTGCTTTTCCATTGCCTTCTTTTTTTGTCCGGACCATAACTTGAAGACTAATGGTTGGAATTCAATATAACTACATACAATGGTCAAGCACATTGAGAGGAAGTGCAGTGCATAAGAACCATAACTCTATCTAAAGTAATTACAGAGTTATTGCCCTTTATTACTTTTCCATTGCTTTCTTTTGTCCGGACCATAACTTCAAGACTAATTGTTGGAATTCATTATAACTTCATACAATGGTCCAGCACATTGAGAGGAAGTGCAGTGCACAAGAACAATAACTCCATCTTGATTTATTACAGAGTTACTGCCCTTTGTTTCTTTTCCTTGTCCAGAGCATAACTTTAAAACTACTGGTTGGAATTCAAAACAACTTCATACAATGGTCAAGCACAATAAGGGGAAGTGCAGTGCACAAGAACCATAACTCCATCTTGACTAATTACAGAGTTATTGCCCTTTGTTTCTTTTCCATTGCTTTCTTTTGTCCGGACCATAACTTGAAGACTTATTGTTGGAATTCATTATAACTTCATACAATGGTCAAGCACATTGAGAAGGAAGTGCTGTGCATATGAACCATAACTCCATCTTGACTTATTACAGAGTTACTGCCCTTTGTTACTTTTCCTTGTCCACAGCATGACTTGAAAACTACTGGTTGGAATTCAAAACAACTTCATACAATGGTCAAGCACAATAAGGGGAAGTGCAGTGCACAAGAACCATAACTCCATCTTGACTAACTACAGAGTTATTGCCCTTTGTTACTTTTCCTTGTCCAGAGCATAACTTGAAAACTACTGTTTGGAATTCAGTACAACTTCATACAGTTGTCAAGGACATTAAAAGGAAGTGCAGTGCACAAGAGCCATAACTCCATTTTGACAAAATACAGAGTTACTGCCCTTTGATACTTTTCCTTGTCCGGAATTCTAAACAACTTCATACAATGGTCAAGCACAATAAGAGGAAGTGCAGTGCACAAGAACTATAACTCTATCTTCAGTATTTATAGAGTTATTGCCCTTTGTTCTTTTTCTTTATCTTTCTGGACTTATTACAGAGTAATTCAATTAAACTTCATCAATGGCCAACCACATTCAAAGGAAATGCAACATATATGAACAACAATTATCTTTAATTGCCCACAACCATAACTCTATGTTTCAATTCTTTTAAAAGGTATTCTGTTACTAGTAACATCCTCATTTCCGAAGCAGACTTGTGGGGGTATTAATCACATTTAGTGATAGTTCTAGTTTTAAGATTTTGAGTGCAAGTTTGTATCTCCAAAAGTACTGAAGGCAATGCGTTGAAACTTCACACACAGTATTTGACTTGAGAGCATAATAAGGAGGTCACTGACCAATAGGGGTGTAACAATACGGCAAAAACAGTATTGCAATATATTGCCATTTTACTGAAGTGTATTGCAATATATTGTAATACGTATTGTCGTGTATATGTTTTGATGTAAAGATGGATTAACATTATTAAATTATTATTATATGTATATATTCTTAGTAGAAACTTAATAAAAATGTAAGGACTAATATAGAAAGTAAAGAGTCACACAATTTGATAAACAAAACTAGTAGCATGTGACGTTTCACATCTGGGCTGCTTATGTAAATTATGCTGCCGCTTATTTTTAAGTGTACAAGTTGTCGGATATTTTTTTCTTACTTTGGCGCCAATAAAATTCGCCAATTAAAGATTTTATGCGAAATTTGTATGAAATTAGAAGGCATTTAATTGAAAATTATGATTTTTATAAAATACCGGTATTCCAAAAATCGTACCATGGTACGAAATTTATTTTTTCATATTGCAATAAATCGGTTTATCGGTAAACCGTTACACCCTTACTGACCAAGACAGACTTATAATCCTTACACAAACTTTGACAAAATTATTTTAGAATTTAGAGTTGAAAACCTGAAAGCCAAACGTTCTATACATATTATAATTGTGTTTTGATTTAACATCAGTTTCACTCGCATAGTGCTTGATAGTAGACTCAGAAACACAAAAAAATGACTAATTATAAAGCGTACAATTTCTTTTTTGTTGAGTAAATTTTTGTTGCTTACATGTATGTGTTATTCAATGAAGTAATATTGTCATAGCAGTAACTATATCATACCTTTATCAACATAGCATTCATTTTCAAAAATTTGTAGGACTTTTGAAGTTTCGAAATTATTTACAATATCTAATAATTTTGTTCATTTGAAGTTTCAAAGAGTGGAAAGATAATACAGAAATATATTTAAGTTATGCCTGACATAAGTTGTCTCCCTTTGTGTATATTTTCAGCTGCTCACCAGAGTGGTCACAACAGTGGGGTGATACATGCAGGGATATACTACACTCCTGGCTCACTGAAAGCTAAACTATGTGTTCAAGGTGTTGAAATGATATATGATTACTGTGATAAAAATAATGTACCATATAATAAATGTGGTAAGGTGAGTAAATTGATGAATTTGATATGGATAAATGTTTAAATATTAAGCAAACATGTAAATCTGATTTCATTCAGAAGTTTGAATTTAAGGATTTGTTTTGAAATGACAGGAGAAAGAGAATAGTTATTGAATGAATGTCATAGTTAAATGAAAAAAAAATAATTGAAAATTGTCTTGGGTTTATAACTTGTTTTGTAGGATTGAATTTTCTTGTAAATAGTTTTTGAATTCATGAAAAATGTATGTCATGCATTTAATAAAAAAAGTAGGGACAAATTTAATGTTATGTTATATTATTTTTTGACAGTTGATAGTTGCAACAGAACCTGAGGAAATCCCGAGACTGGAGGCATTATTAGAGCGAGGAATTGAGAATGGTGTGAAAGATCTACGTATGATTGAAGGAAATCAGATAAAAGACATAGAACCAAACTGTGTTGTAAGTTTTTTACTTGAAGTAAAACTGTTTACATTATTCATTACTGTGCATGAAGTTTCTTTACCTTCATTTGTCATGCCGTTTGCATTTGTTGTACCGATCAAATGATTAAATTGTGCGAACTTGTTTGTTTAAATCCTAAACCACTAAATATATGTGCTTGAAACTTTACACATGTCTTTCACATAATTATTGGAAGTCACTGTTCAAGACCCAAAAGATATTAATTTGATTTTATTATGGCCCTTTGTGATATAAGAAAAAATTTGGTTTTAGTTATGTGTGCAAAATCAGTCTTCCATGACCCCTAATTGCTACTATTTACCTTGGTCATAGATTAATCCATCCAGAGCTCAATAACTTGTGTATGCATTCTCCAGAGCTCTGCCAGCCAGACCAACTTACAGGTCACAGAGTCATAGGTCATTACCTCCAAATATCAAATATTACCCCTGGCCATAAAATTGAAGTAATTCCATTCACAACCTTCAAACTTCATAGATGTATGCACCTAGATTCACTCTTACCCAAGACTTGTTCAGATGTTACAGGGTCATGGCCAAATATTACATACATGACTGTGAACATTCACACTTTTAGCGGGAGACTCCCACATTCTGCAGCCATATTTTCAAAGATTTTTCTTAAAAGAAGGGGTATTTTCACAAATTAAAGAACTCTCCCTATTTTTGTGCCCCCACTTTAGTGGCGTGCATTTAGATTTACCCTTGTCTGTCCGGACGTCCGTCCGTCCTTCCGTCCGTCTGTTCTCTTTTGTGTCGCATGTAACACAAAAAGTATTTGACCTAGAGTCATGAAACTTTACAGGAATGTTGATCAGCATGTGTAGTTGTGCACTTGGGTATTTTCGTCTGGATATTTTTAGAGTTATTGCCTTTGACTTAGTAAAATTTTGCAATTTTCAACTTGTGTCGCATGTAACGCAAAAAGTATTTGACCTAGAGTCATGAAACTTCACAGGAATGTTGATCAGCATGTGTAGTGTTGCACCATTGCACCTGGGTATTTTTGTCTGGATATTTTTAGTATTTTTAGAGTAATTGCCCTTGACTTAGTAAAATTTTGCAATTTTCAACTTGTGTCGCATGTAAGTCAAAAAGGATTTGACATAGAGTCATTAAACCTTACGGGAAGGTTTCTCAGCATATTTAGTTTTGCACCTGGGGTTTCGCTTGTGGATTTATCCATTATTTGTAGAGTTATTTCCTTTAACTTAGTAAAAACTGTTTCATTATGTTGTTATTTGTTCCTTGAGTGCTTGAGTTAGAATCAACCAACTTTACAGGAATAATGATCAACATCACTAAATTACAGGAATAATGATTCACATCACTGTGAAGCTATGAAACTTGGACTTTGCATGTGGATTTTTTTCAGTTTTGTTAGAGTTATTGCCCTTGACTTACAGTAGTATAAATTTACAATTTTCAAATTGTTCATGCATAGCTCAAAAAGTATTTGACTTGTAGGCCTGAAAGTTTACAAGAATGTTGGTCAGCATGTGTACTTATGCACCTTGGGGTTTGCTTGTGAATTTATTCAGTATTTGTAAAGTTCTTGCCCTTTACTTAGTAAAAGATTTTTAGTTTTTAAAATATTTGACCTAGAGTCATACGATTGACAGAACAGTGGCATGGTGGGGGCACCCGTGTCCTATGGACACATTTCTAGTTTATGTCAGAACTTCCTTCTTTGTTTATTGCAAATTCTAAAATCTTCCTTTTTTTGCTGAACAATCTCCCACTTGATAATCGAAAAAAGTTAACATGTATGATATTAACTGTGACCATAATATAGTAGTCTTTACATACAATGATACATACCCTAAACTTGAAAACTTAAAACTTACCAGATGTATTCACCTTGATGCACTTTTGCTGCAAAACTCTCTTTTTACAAGGTCAAATGTCAAGGTCACTGTGACTTAAAAAAGTTAGTATTTACTTTGGCCATAAAATAATTAGGCTTCCATTAAAAACATTATAACTTCACATATTTATGCACCTTGATGAGCTCTACCATCATATCCACTTGGAGGTGATAGGGTCAAAGGTCAAAGTGATCACTAGGGGCATGGTGTATATTCAAACAATAATTATTATATGCCTTTTTTGTAAATGGATATTTGTGTTAAGTTGCTGTAAGATCCATAACTTTTCATAATGATTTTTATTCATATATTTGTTATAACAGGGTTTGAAGGCTGTACATTCACCACACACTGGTATCATAGACTATGGTTTAGTGACGCGGTCATATGGAGAGTTCTTTACGAAACGGGGTGGCCAAATATTCACAGATTTCCCTGTATCTGAAATGTCTGTTACAGCAGAAAGCAAGTCAGGAGATCTAGATGGCAACAAATATCCGATTACAGTTGTTGGAAATAGTAATCAGGTAACTTTCAGATATATAAATTTATGCTTTGTGATAGAGGCTATTGATATTGGCCTGCTTTATGATGTTAGATAGACTATGGTTTTTGAAAGATATTGTGACTATTTTACACTGACACACAATTTTACTCACCCAAGGTTTTAGGTATTGGGTGGTTTTCTATTCTCTTTCTCTTTAATAACAAACTATTTTGTTTAAACATTTTACCTGTCTTTAGGGATTTAAGGATATGTCACTATATCGAATTTGTCAGTGTATTGATTTTCATCATTCATCATGTAATGATACTTATTCACTGGTATCTAAATATTATGTATTTAGATCTGTAATAAACATCTAAAATTAAAAGATTTTGTGTGTGTATGTGTTCACTTTATTATACACATTACATATCATACACATAATACAACAACTTTATTAAAATAATAAAAACTAAAATAGATAAAGATTGATATGAAAATGATAAAACTTAATAAACTAAGAAGCACATACAATGATAGGACTTTTAAAAGTTAACAAACAACTAACCAAGTTACAATACCTGTTTTAACGCCTTGCAGCTTTAGTTCATGGCTCAATGATACGCGCGCTTGACTTACCAAGTGTCAGTTTAACGGGTACTGATTGTATAGAAAATAACACATTTGGTTTCCAATTTTATTGTGTCGGAGTTGGAATACAAACTTTCCGTTATAAAGGATTATAATAACGTTGAAAAAATTTGGTTCCCACCAATTCACTGTCGTTATTTGAATTTGTTAGTATAATGGATTCCGATGTATTGAGTCCTGACTGTACATTAGTTATCTCAAGAGCAGTTAAAACACTTCTATTATATAGTAATATGTCCATAGTTCTACAGATGCAGATTTGAGAGTATCTCCAACTAAACTGGAAAATTATCATGATATTTTCAAAATTATGGAAGATTTAATTATCTTGCGCCATATTTATATCAATTGACAATTAATTTTCTTGCACCATATTTATATCTTGTTAACAAGGTTTTTGTTTATTGTAGATGTATTGACTTGGGACTATAATATATTTATTTCAGAATCAAGTATTACAGTGTAGATATGTCGTGACATGTTGTGGTTTACAGTCTGATCGTATAGCAGAGTTATCCGGCTGTAACAGAGAACCTAGAATTGTTCCATTCAGGGGAGACTACCTACTCCTTAAACCTGAAAAAAGTGATATGGTTAGAGGCAATATATATCCAGTAAGTATATGTTGTCTTTGACTGAGTTCTAGAATATTTGAGAGTCAGCTATTGAAATTAAGTTCCATTAGAAAATAAGGCATACATTGCGGTGATATTTAAAAGTTTCCTTTTGTTTACAAGAATAAAGGTAAGTCAACAGTTACCAAGCTCCTTAGATGTGTTTACAGATTACCTGTTTTGTTTTTATTGTGCTATTTTAACAAACTAGTTTTTCTCATGCAGGCTATGAAAACAAGGATTATTAGACATATTTTTCTTAAAAGAGTAAACTCTAATGAATGTTACTTTTCAGTTACACTAATGACTAAAACTCTAAAGCCATGTTTATTGTCAAATTAAATAAACCTGAGTGTATTTGTGTATGTGATTCATTTTAGGTTCCAAATCCAGCTTTACCTTTTCTTGGGGTACACTTCACACCCAGGATGGATGGTAGTGTATGGCTTGGACCTACAGCTGTGCTGGCGTTCAAGAGGGAGGGATATAATCTGTTAGACTTTAATGTGAGGGATACAGTAGATGCTCTGAAATTCAGGTAAAACAGAATACAGATCAGGTCAATTTACAATGTTAATAATTTGCAGTGCATCTATATGATGAATAGAGTGATTGTCAGTGAAGATTTTTCTTACACAATTCACAACAATTGTCAAAGTAAACATTGTTTTTTTTTTGGGGGGGGGGGGGGTGGGGGGGATTTTTTGGAAGGGGTCTTGTTTAATTGGGAAAAAATGCCTCATGTGTTGCCAAAATGTGCTGGTCTTTTTAGATACCTTTTTATTCCCCGATTAGTTAAGGAGGGTATATTGATTTGCCTTTGTCTGCTGTGCTGTCATTCTGTTTGGTGTTCCACTTACAAAACAATGCAATGTGGGGGCATCACATTCCTAGTCTGTCATTCAACTGCCCCACACTGTAATAACTTAGAAAATATAGGTCCTTTATTTTTATTATGTTTAAACTAAAATTATAGGGAATCATTGTTGTGTTGCCTTTTCATCTTTTTCATTTTAGTCATCAAATAATGTTTTAAAATAACATATTGCTGCACAAGTATGTGTCTTTACATACAAATGATTAGAGATTTATAATAGAGATTTACCATAGTTTTACTGATTGTTTAAATATGATATACAGATCTTATGTTACAAATATTGAAATTTTTTATCTTTAGAGGGACCAGAAAGCTGGCATTGAAACATTTAACATTTGGTATGAGTGAGATGTGGAGGGCATTTTTTATATCGGCACAAGTTAAACAACTACAGAGGTTTATACCAACATTAAAACGTGAAGACGTCATCAGGTCAGTTATGTTATATAAATGTTAACCTGCTGAAATCGCACATGCAGATTTGCCCTGCATACAATTTGATCAGTCTATTTGAAAATTACTCTATTACGAAAAATTAGCTTCCAATTGTATAGAGTCAGGTCAGATTCCAGACAAGTGCAGGTTGGCCTGGCTTTATACTGGCTGTAAATGCTGATGACTGTTGGTTCTAGCAGGTTAATGATTTAATTGTTTACATTGTTGATTTAAGCATGTTCAGTTTCGTTATTATACCCCCAAAAACGAAGTTTGGGGGGGTATATAGGAGTCACCCGGTGGTCGGTCGGTTGGTCGGTCGGTCGGTCGGTCCAGACGTCTGTTGCATTTTCCTTGTCCGGAGCATAACTTGAAAACTAATGGTTGGAATTCAATATAACTACATACAATGGTCAAGCACATTGAGAGGAAGTGCAGTGCACAAGAACCATAACTCTATCTTGACTTATTACAGAGTTATTGCCCTTTGTTACTTTTCCTTGTCCGGGGCATTACTTGAAAACTACTGGTTGGAATTCAAAACAACTTCATACAATTGTCAAACACAATAAGGGGAAGTGCAGTGCACAAGAACCATAACTCTATCTAAAGTAATTACAGAGTTATTGCCCTTTGATGCTTTTCCATTGCTTTTTTTTTGTCCGTTGCATTTTCCTTGTCCGGAGCATAACTTGAAGACTAATGGTTGGAATTCAATATAACTACATACAATGGTCAAGCACATTGAGAGGAAGTGCAGTGCATAAGAAACCTAACTCTATCTTGACTAATTACAGAGTTATTGCCCTTTGTTACTTTTCCTTGTCCGGGGCATAACTTGAAAACTACTGGTTTGAATTCAAAACAACTTCATACAATTGTCAAACACAATAAGGGGAAGTGCAGTGCACAAGAACCATAACTCTATCTAAAGTAATTACAGAGTTATTGCCCTTTGTTGCTTTCCCATTGCCTTTTTTTTTGTCCGGACCATAACTTGAAGACTAATGGTTGGAATTCAAAATAACTACATACAATGGTCAAGCACATTGAGAGGAAGTGCAGTGCATAAGAACCATAATTCTATCTAAAGTAATTACAGAGTTATTGCCCTTTGTTACTTTTTCATTGCTTTCTTTTGTGCGGACCATAACTGGAAAACTTATTGTTGGAATTCATTAAAACTTCATACAATGGTCCAGCACATTGAGAGGAAGTGCAGTGCATAAGAACTATAACTCCATCTTGACTAATTACAGAGTTACTGCCCTTTGTTACTTTTCCTTGTCCAGAGCATGACTTGAAAACTACTGGTTCGAATTCAAAACAACTTCATTCAATGGTCAAGCACAATAAGGGGAAGTGCAGTGCACAAGAACCATAACTTCATCTTGACTAATTACAGAGTTATTGCCCTTTGTTACTTTTCCATTGCTTTCTTTTGTCTGGACCATAAATTGAAGACTAATTGTTGGAATTCATTATAACTTCATACAATGGTCAAGCACATTGAGAGGAAGTGCAGTGCATAAGAACCATAACTCCATCTTGACTAATTACAGAGTTACTGCCCTTTGTTACTTTTCCTTGTCCAGAGCATGACTTGAAAACTACTGGTTGGAATTCAAAACAACTTCATACAATGGTCAAGCACAATAAGGGGAAGTGCAGTGCACAAGAACCATAACTCCATCTTGACTAATTATAGAGTTATTGCCCTTTGTTACTTTTCCTTGTCCAGGGCATAACTTGAAAACTACTGTTTGGAATTCAGTATAACTTCACACAGTTGTCAAGGACATTAAAAGGAAGTGCAGTGCACAAGAGCCATAACTCCATTTTGACAAAATACAGAGTTACTACCCTTTGATACTTTTCCTTGTCCGGAGCATAACTTAAAGCGTACTGGATTGAATTCAAGATATTCTGTTACTAGTAACATACTCATTTCCAAAGCAGACTTGTGGGGGTATTAATCACATTTAGTGATAGTTCTAGTTTATAAAGGAGACATTAATTTTAAGTGTATTAACTTCTCAGTGCCCTATTTGGAATTATGATGCATGTTGTATTCTAAATAGCTGCATACCTGTATCAGAAATATACAATGTCAATTGGAACGTTGTCATACTGCTATACACTTAAAATTAGAATCTCCATTCTAACATGTTATAAGAAATAAAATGTTGAATTACATTGAATAATTATATAAATTACTCCATGAGCATGTTAAACATTATTTTGTTGAGAACTTGAAAACAGGATAACACAAAATTGTAATTATTTATTGTAAAACATTAAAAAAACGTTTCATCACTTTTAAGTAAGGCAACACTATCTTTCGAACAATTTATATAATTATTCTGTACAGGGGACCGGCTGGTGTTCGAGCGCAGGCGTTGAACCGGGAAGGTGCCCTTGTTGATGATTTTGTGTTTGATCAGGGCGAGGGAGATATAGGCAGTAGAATATTACACATCCGAAACTCACCGTCACCGGCCGCTACATCGTCGTTATCTATAGCTAATATGGCCGTGGACAAAATTGATAAAATATTCCAACTGTGATACAAATTTAATATGTTAAATAATTGTTGTTAATCTATATTTTATTGTTAACATAGGGATACTGTCTGTTGCTGATTTAAAGGTGCTTAATTTATTTATATAATTATATAATCACTGGTCTGATTTTGTATTGTAAGCTCATCAGAAATATATACCGAATATTTGTATGACCTCAATTAGGATATGGCGGATGGTCTTGAGATGATTGTCGGCAAACCTGGAAAGTTTTGTTTTAATATTTGTCAAACATTGATTAATTCCTCTGAAGCAACTGAATTTTGTCTACTAGAAATAAAGTTAAACAACAACAACATTTCATGAATCAGTAAATGTATAACAAAAAAGAACGGAGAAAGAAATATTTGAAAATCATCTTCCCATTACTGTTTTATTTGAACCTCAACAATGTTGGTTTTTAGTATTCATAATCTCTCATCACATAAATCACATTTTTATTTGCAACATATAATATAATCTGTGTGGGGATTTGAAATATGAAAATTCTTTTATGCAAAAACAGAAAGTTTATCTGCATTGCACTTCTTTTAATATATGAATGATACTGATTGAATATCACTTTTTCGATAAAAATTTTTGTAAATAATTCTCACCTAGTCTTAATTCTATCTGTAATTTATATACATGTATGAAATTCCCGCCGAAGCATATATTACTCAAGTGTTAGATAGTCATAAGAAAGCAATAATATAAAAATTCACGTCAAATCATTGAATCCTGAATTATGAAAGGTGCAATAACTGCATTGTTGTAGTTGTAGAATTATGCAAGGTTTGAGTTCAAATACACAGGAATATAATCACAAAGGAAGATAGGCCTGAGTGATAAATTACAACATACATATGAACTCTCCCACTTTTAGCGGGAAACTCCCACTTTCTGCAGCCATATTTTCAAAGATTTATCTTACAATAAGGGGCATTTTTTTCACAAATTAAAGAAATCTCCCTATTTTTGATGTCAGAATTTCCTTCTTTGTTTAATGTAAATTCTAATTGAAGAAAAATTTCCCACTTGATCATCAAAAAAAGTTCACATGTATGTTACAAAGCATTTGAACGATAAACCATACATTATTATACTATAATGAAAGAGAAATTAATATCTATTTGCATTCTAATATGTCAATAAAAAGGAGAATTGTTAAAAATATGTTGAACTACATTGAGTGTAGAAGTTATTTTCCTGACATTTGGTTTATTGACATCATATATCTTAAGTCATATGACATGTAAGCATTTATTAGTCCCCTACCGGTTTAACCGGAGGGGACTTTAGGTTTACCCTCCGTCCGTCTGTCCGTCTGTCTGTCTGTCTGTCCGTCTGTCTGTCTGTCAGTCCGTCAGTCCGTCCGTCCACAAAACTGGATCCCGCGATAACGCAAAAAGTACTGAAAATATTTTTATGAAACTTGATATATGGATAGATGGCAGTATGGAGATTATGCACGTCTTTTTTTTTTCTTCCTATGTTGAAAATTCTGGTTGCTATGGCAACAAATAGTCTGAAAATATGGCAAATTTAACACATAAACTGGATCCAGTGATAACTCAAAAAGTACTGAAAATATTTTTATGAAACTTGAAATATGTGTAGATGGCAGTCTGGAGATTATGCACATCTTTTTCTTTTCTTCCTATGTTGAAAATTCTGGTTGCTATGGCAACAAATAGTCTGAATTTCAAGATTTCTGATTTAAATTTTTCAGCTTTTTCACTATATGTTCTTTATTTCTTAAGGTGTTTACTTCAAACTTTAAATATAAGTTTCTGGTCATCAACCACATAATATGTGACAAGGTTTATAACTCTAGCACAAAAAATATCAGTATTACCTCCCTTGAACTTAGATTTTTTAGGGGAAAAAATGTTGTCTTTTTTAAATAACTTCTTTATTTCCTAATGTATCTACTTCAAACTTCATATATATGTTTCTTATTATCACTCGATATTTTTGAGAAGGTTAAATACTCTAGCAAGACTATTTCCAGAATTATGTCCCCCTTGAACTTAGATTTTTTTCGAGAAACTGGTATTTTCACTCCAACTTCTTCATTCCTTATAGGATTTACTTTAAAATCCCACATCGTAATAATATGACAAGGTTGTATAAATATAATTTCCTTACTAAGCATGGAAACTTAACACATTACTGTGATATAGACAAACTTATTTTATTATGTTTTGTGGTTGATATTTTCAAATACAGACTTCATCCTCAAATTCATTATAAATGGCAATACACAGGAGTGTATGACAATTAAAGAACTTTTTGAGGGACCGGTAGGGGACTACTGTATTGCCCGCAATACTATCAAATGCTTGTTTTTTATGCTGTGCATATATCATGTATTAATGCATTTAATTGTCCTATCTGTTTGAGAGATAGTGTCAAGTGTGTTAGAATACAAGTGTTCTTAACTTGCCAGAGCAATTATAATTTTATTTGTGACTGTCACAACACTCAAGTGACGTAGTGCTATTGTGGCCATCCTTGTAGGATAATTTAAGTTGCGGGATTTATGTTAATTTTTTATGTAATTGCATTTAATTACCAATGGTGCAATTGAAAATTGAATTGTATAACTTTATACACATGATAATTATGTTATGATTTGCGATTTTAAATAGGACATTACGGTTTATGAAATGAAATTATGTTACACAGAGATCTCCGGTAAATCTTTATAAGAAGTTGGTGTTACTTTTATTTTTCTCCATGATTTTTGGTTCAAAGGTTTGTATGTGTTGTGATAGGCTAGGGGGACAACATTGTCTGTACCTATAAATAATAAGAGAACAGTCTTTTATTGGTTAAATTTAATAGAATGATTTTCTATGGCCAATTACTACTTTTTTTCCAAAAAGTGACAAATAGTCAATTATGCTCAAGATTTTCTTACTTTTTTTCTACAGACAATGACAGCCTTTTTAATATGGAAATCTTTTAGGGCTAGTCCATCCTCAGATATTCTTATATAGTTGTTGAGAGTTACGTTATTGAGGTTCGTTCTCAGTCTTGATGTGATCCTGTTCTGGGTTGAAAACCCTCGCTCACAAGCAACACTGCTTACTGGGATAACACAGCATATTTTCAGACATTCACACACAGTAGGTAAGATGGTAACATAGATAAATGGTCTTTGGTAAGTTTTAGACATACCGGTATTTAAGCCTTTATAACTATCCACAACTAGTCTTTTGTTAGTCTGATTTTCTGATTATAATGTGATAGGGTCTAAACCAAATTGTTTTGATACTTCAAACACCTTTTCTTTACCAAATCCTGACTGACATGACACATTTGATTGGATAACATTTGGATCAAATATACTCAACATTTCAAATATGCCAATATCAAGAAATCTGTTTCTTAGGTTTTCAACAATTTTTTCAATACACTTTCTGGTAATCCTGACAAAGCAGTTTTTGTTTGAAGTTCCACATTCTTTCAATTCAATACAGTTGATCTTATCACTGTTCTCATTGTCTCTTCGGTACTGTTGATAACTAGATTTTGGGAATTAAATAGAAGTCTCTTTATTTCATTCTTCTTTTTCACTTTCAATGGAACCAATTAGCCAAAAACTACATACAGTAGTTTGAATTAGTGCTGTCTACCTTCTTTAATAAATCTTCCATAACTCTTGACTTAGTGTCACTAATTTTTAACTCAGTTCTGATCTTTAACTTTTCTTCCGCTTGTTTCAATCTTAGTCTTTTGGCTTCAAGCTCATTGTCAGCAATTCTGCCTTTCTCATAGATTCTTTAAGTTAAGCAGATGATAAGTGGCTTTGAACTGAACTGTACAAACTATCCTTTGAATGTCTACTGTATTGTGTTTTGTGTCATCAGGAATGTATTCTTAAACCACTTTTCTACCTCTCAAGCTTTAAGTTAATTTGCATTGTGTCGTTAAAAATGCCAAGACTTAATAATGCCAAGACATATCGTATAAAAAGACTTAAGAAATTGTTTAAATAGAAAGCTTGGTGCATTCACCATCAGAAGGATTTGATAAGAATAATATTGTACAAAAAACACAGCGCATTGTTTGACTTAATGTAGATTTGCATTTTAGCACCCCATACTTCTTCTGAAATAACCGGTGCAGGCCATCTGCATGGCACTCCTTTCAATTTAGTCCAGACAGACCAAATCCAAACCAAAACCAGACCTGTTTACCCCATTAATGCCCTGTCAGTAGTCGGAAAGTGGTTTATCAGTAGTTTTAGACACTTGTCAGTAGTTTTTAGGCCCTAGATTTATAACCACACTTGATATTCATAGTCCTTATGCTGTTTACTGTTAAAATGTCTCTTGCAATAATTTCTCCCCACATGCATGCAACTTAACACACACCGAGCAGTGTAAAAAATGGGCACCTTTACAAGATGGTAAGAGACAGGGCCACAGTTCTCTGTAAGAATCTAGGAACTTTTGCGATGATTTCTTGCGTTTTACCGGCGATTCCTCGTCTGCCGGGCCGTTCAATTTTTGTTTCCCCATTTTAACATTTTTATGCTCCCCGAAAAATTTCGGGGGAGCATATAGTCGGCGCCTTGTCCGTCTGTCCGTCCGTCCGTTTTCTTGTCCGGAGCATAACTTGAAAACCCTTGGAGATAATTTGTTTAAACTTCATACAGTGGTAGAGGGCATTGAGGGGGAGTGCAGTGTCAAAGAACCATAACTCTATTTTGCCCGGTTTTTGAATTATCTCCCCTTATAGAAAAATCTTGTCCGGGGCATAACTCTAAAACTATAAGAGATATCAACATGAAACGTTGTAGGTGAATAGATCTCAATGGGTAGATGTGCAGTGCATAAGACCAATAACTCTTTTTGTCCTAATTTTGGAGTTATTGCCCTTTGTTAATTTCAACACTTTGAATTTTGTCCGGAACATAACTCTAAAACTATAAGAGATATCAAGATGAAACATTGTAGGTAGATAGATCTCATTGAGTAGAAGTGCAGTGCAAAAGAACCATAACTCTGTTAAGCCTCATTTTTGAATTATCTCCCCTTATAGAAAAATCTTGTCCGGGGCATAACTCTAAAACTATAAGAGATATCAACATGAAACTTTGTAGGTGAATAGATCTCAATGGGTCGATGTGCAGTGCATAAGAACAATAACTCTTTTTGTCCTAATTTTGGAGTTATTGCCCTTTGTTAATTTTAACACTGAACTTTGTCCGGAACATAACTCTAAAATTATAAGAGATATCAAGATGAAACATTGTAGGTAGATAGATCTCATTGAGTAGAAGTGCATTGCAAAAAAAAAAATAACTCTGTTAAGCCTCATTTTTGAATTATCTCCCCTTTTAGAAAAATCTTGTACTGGACATAGCTATAAAACTATAAGAGATATCAACATGAAACTTTGTAGGTAGATGTATCTCAATGGGTAGATATGCAGTGCAAGAGAATCATAACTCTGCCTTGCCTAATTCTGGAGTTATTGCCATTTGTTTATTTTTACTTTTTGAATTTGTCGGCAACATAACTCGGAAACCATAAGAGATATCAACAAGAAACTTTGTAAGTTGATAGATAACAGTGATTAGAAGTGCAGTGGAAAGAACAGTTACTCTGCCTTTCCTAATTTTGGAATTATTGCACTTTGAACTTTTTCCAGGGACATAACTCTGAAACTACAAGAGGTGTACTTTCCTGTGTCCAAAACCTATTCGGGGAGCATCACCCGGCTCAAACCGGGCTCTTGTTCCTTTCAGTTTCCAACGTAAAATGCCGAGTATTCAGAATGCCAATTAAACACGAGGAGAGACCCTTGAATTGTTGTACGCTTTTATAAGCGTCCAGATCACCCAGAATGACACTATTCAGCGCAAAGTGCTTAATTTATCAGAAAGTGCTCAATTAAAGGAAAGAGTAAAATTTTCCAATTATGACCAATTTCTGTAGAATTTTCGTTGTTAATTTGTACTGTGTAGTTTATGCGGTGAATCCGTAGGAAATACCGACAATCTGTAGAGGTAAACAGGTCTGCAAAACATTAACAATGAAACAGTTAAAACAAGAAAAGAGAGTAATTTTCTTAACAAGAAAGACAAGTAACCATAATTGCCATTTGTGAGAATCTATTACTCTGAACATAAATTAATAATAATAAGCTGTTATTTGTATCCTAATGAGATCAAATTACTAAAAGTCGGTGAATAAAGTTGCAATAGTGTTTATGAGACAAGGTAAAGATTCGTTCTCATTTAATGTATATCATTAAGTGAGTATTCTGTACTAACCAATCAGTGTGATGAGTGTGATGAGAGTTGACTCTACTTCAAGTCATGTACCTACAGGCTCATCTGAGTGTTATGAGCACTCTTAGTTTTCTTTTTGGAAGAGAAACCTCATCTTTGAGTTCCTCACCTGAAATCTATTCAAAGCTTATATTAACTAAGCATAGTTATTTAGGACTTACTAGTGGACTTTTTTACCAATATTGTAGCATACATATATTAATTACAAAAACGAGAAAAACGATCATTTGTATTGCAAACTTCTTTCACATGCTTGTTTGATTGTTCGTAAGCTCGGCATATTTTGATTGCCTTTTCAAAGGCCAGATTTTCTTTTCTAAACAGCAGTTCTTGTTGTTTTCCGGTGCTACTAAACACAATTTTATCTCTATAAGCATTCTTTCTTTCTGTGTATCATAATTACAAGACTCAACACCCTTTCATAACTCTTTCACAAAACTGTCAAATGATGTATATTATAGCATAAAATCGGCTATTTTTCCCTCTTTTGCCCATGTTATAACGGGACCAAAACCATGTGTTAACATAGTCACGCGCTCTTGTTATAGCCCGGTTTCACCTATGCGCAATACATACAGGGCCCAGTAAACAAACAAACAAAAAATGACGATTTGGCCTGTTTGCTGAAGAGTCATGCGCTCTTGTTATATTGAAATTTATTGATTCGAGGGCCTCAGTCGCATATTCCAGTAACTATGCCGGAAAAACGGCGTATAGACATCGGTGCTAATCTTGGTTGTCGCCCTTTCTAAGAAACGGACAGTTGTCAATGTAAACAAATACAGTAGAATCTACCTATCATTCAGTTTAACACTCCGATTAACTTACAAAACTAGATAACACAAAATTAATACGAGAAAATGTTTTTTATTTATGTTAATGTTGATAAATGCTCTTTATATTTCTTTGAGAGAATAATGCTTAGTGCCTGATTTTTTTAATAAACTTGTTTGCTTGAAAAAAAAACCGATTCTGATGTCACTGATCTTTTTTCTACCGTCAATCTGAAATCACTCTAAGAATTTCTGAGGGTCATGTTTTGTCTTGGGTAGAGGGTAGAGTAATGTAACGTTTTTTTTTCTTGAGATAATAAATCTCCAAAGGCCAAGCTTTGTTAAATCAATTAAAATTCAAAATTTCGATCGGTTCCGAGAATTTTCCAAGTTGTTGGCCCCGGAAAAATGAAACGCATACGTAAAAAAAAAATTTGATAAATACCGTCCAAACACAAGAATTTAATGTAATTGTGTTTTGTATAAACTATACATCACGAATCTGTTTGAATTTTATGCTATAATAGCGTCAACGCACGTTTATTTCGTGTTATAAAGTCTGCAGAGTCCCTCGGAACTGTTGGAGCCCTCGCCCTACCGGGCTCGGGCAACAACCTTTCCTCGGGACTCTGCAGACGTTATAACACGGAAAAACGTGCGTTAACCCTATATTCATCTGGATTTGTTGCCCAAAATCTTTGTGATTCTAGCAAATCATTTTTTCTACGATTGCAATTGCTTTCTATTTTGTCAAATATTTTGTCCACTTTCAGTTTATGTTCTGCATCTGCCCATGTAAATTGATCATAAATCTCTGTAACTTTAGGTCCAGCACAGTGTAATAGGATATTTACTTGTATCTTTTCATCTTTCTCAGCATTTCCACTGGCAGTCAAATAAATTTCCATTTGGCTCTTCCATTTGATAAAGTTCTGTGATATGTTACCATTTTCAACATCTAAGTGTCCAGGGGGTCTTAATGAATCTGCCATGATTGTCAGTTTGAATAATACGTTCGAATAATATTGAGTATGAATCCTTTAATAGTTTGAATAATATTGAGTATGAATCTTCCCCTTCCCCAAAATTGCTTTTGGGCGCTATATTTCACTCAAGTGGCAGAAATACTATACACTGCAGGTGCGCAACAAATAATTGCATATCCCTCTGATGCCACCATGTTGATAGGGTTCTATAATATGCAATTAAGAAAATATGTTTTCAGAACGTTAACTTTATTCCATTCATACAGATGCTTACAAGGTTACACACCACTAAATAAGACATATATCAACAGAAACATCTTCTAATGGGTGTCTACCAACTTTGTTCAAATAAAAGCCCTGGGGTCAATATTTGGTTTGCCCCAGGGCGTCGTTTTTCCCTTTATGTATATAGTAAAAACTTAAAAAAACCTTCTTTTAAAAAACTCAAAGAGCTAGAGCTAAGATATTTAGCATGAAACATCTTCTAATGGGTGTCTACCAAGTTTGTTCAAAAAAGGGCCCTGGGGTTAAAAATGGCCCGCCACGGGAGTCATTGATTTTCATAATATGTGTATAAAGTAAAAACTTAAAAAATCTTCTTTAGAAAAACCACAGAGAGCTAGAGCTTAGATATTTATCATGGAACATCTTCTAATGGCTGTCTACCAAGTTTGTTCAAATAAAAGCCCTTGGGTTAAAATTGGCCCGCCCTGGGGGCCTATATACAGGTGAGCGATTTCAGGGCCATCATGGCCCTCTTGTTTATTAAACTGTATACACAACTAGACATGACATCTTAAAATGCTCGACACATATACTTTAAGTATTTGGTAACCATTAATAAATTAATAACTGAATGCTAATTTAATAAGAACTCCATTTTATTTCTTCTATTTCTCAGCTTTTTATCCATAATGAATATATGATTTTAAAAACTTTCACATGTTCACATATTAAAATGAATATGATTATCCCTCATAAACTGTTTTAAATATTTTCAAACAATGAGAAATATAATATGTCAATCATTTCTTCAAAGTTCATACCTTTAGGGCAACTATCCATGGCATATTTCAATATTTTTGTAATCTTTTAATTATTTTCTTTCCACTGTTTCTGCAATTGTCACATAATGGTAAGACAACTCTAAATGACTTTAAAGAGTTTCCATCTCTCACACCAACTTCAGTACAGTAACAACATAATTGAGCTGCATCATGACAAAGCCAACATAGCCTTTGATCCCGGCAGTCTGTTCAGGATCCATGCTGTTCGATATCAGTTTGTCTACATGTTACAGGGTTTGTAAGCGAACAGCATGGATCCTGATCAGACTGCTTGGATGCGCAGGCTGGCCTAGATTCATGCTGGTTGCAAACCCATTATGTTGGTTTTGTCATGACACAGCTCATATGTCCAGGCGAGCAACTGCTTTAGCTGCAGCAGAATAGTAAGATAGTGATAAGCTCTATGGGACTGTTACAGCACAATTGTAGGCAAACAAACACAACACCTTGTAATTGGTCACCTAAATTAATGGGAAAAAAATAACTAAGACTTTTTTTCTAGATTGCTCTGTAACTTGAAATAATTAATTATCATATTAAAAAAGGGTATTATGTATAATTTATTGGAGTCAGGAAAGAAGAATGATGAAGAACAAAAGATAGCTACTAAGGCTTTGTTCAGACTGTTTTGCAAAAGATATATATTAAAATACTAAATACAACTGCCTAGATGTTTAAAAAAATTTGCACATGCTGAATTAGTAAAGATTTAGGTATGTTATAATTAAAACAGGTCTTACCATCAGCAGTATGTGTATTGTTATTTTTCAAGGGTCCTCTTTATACCTCTTGTCTCACGGACTGTAAGAGCTCGGGGTGAGCTATTAGGATCGGTGAATGTCCGTTGCTTGTGAACACACTAGTGGTCACACTTATGACTCAATCATCATCAAACTTTGTCAGGATGCTTGTTTAGTCAATTGCTCGGATGAGTTCGAAACTGGGTCATTTCGGATGGAAAACTAGGTCAAAGGAGCTAAAAATAGAAAAACCTTGTGAACACTCTAGTGGTCACATTTTTGACCCAATCATCATCAACCTTTTGTCAGAATGCTTGTTTAGATTATTGCTTGGATGAGTTCGAACATGGGTCATCTCCGATGAAAATCTAGGTCACAGGAGCTATAAATAGAAAAACCTTGTGAACACTCTAGTGGTCACATTTTTGAACCAATCATCATCAAACTTGGTCGGAATGCTTGTCTAGTCGATGCTTGGATAAGTTTGAACATGATTTATCTCGGATGGAAAACTAGGTCACAGGAGCTAAAAATGGAAAACCTTGTGAACACTCTAGTGGTCACATTTTTGACCCAATCATCATCAAACTTTGTCAGAATGCTTGTTTAGATAATTGCGCAGATGAGTTCGAATATGGGTCATCTCTGATAAAAAACAAGGTCACAGGAGCTATAAATAGAAAAACCTTGTGAACACTCTAGTGGTCACATTTTTTACCCAATCATCATCAAACTTAGTGTGGATGCTTGTCTAGTCAATTGCTCAGATGAGTTTGAATATGGGTCATCTCTGATGAAAAACTAGGTCACAGGAGGTAAAAATAGAAAAACCTTTTGAACACTCTAGTGGTCACATTTTTTACCTAATCATGATCAAACTTTGTCAGGATGCTTGTTTAGATAATTGCTTAGATGAGTTTGCACATGGTTTATCTCCGATGAAAAACTAGGTCACAGGAGCTATGAATAGAAAAACCTTGTGAACACTCTAGTGGTCACATTTTTGACCCAATTATTAAGAAACCTTGTCAGGATGCTTGTTTAGTCAATTGTTTGGATGAGTTCAAACATGGGTCATCTTGGGTGGAAAACTAGGTCACAGGAGCTAAAAATAGAAAAACCTTGCGAACAGTCTAGTGGTCACATTTTTGACCCAATCATCATCAAACTTTGTCAGAATGCTTGTCTAAGTCAATGCTTGGATGTGAAATTTGAACCCTGACTGAAATTTCGGATGCCAAATTGATTTGATATCAGATGACCATATTGAAAATATATTTTTGTAACTAAATAGCTTAAGAAAATAAGAATGGATTTCTTTTATCAAAACACAGTGATGGAAAATGTGCCCCTCATCCAATCTTTAGTGACGGATGAGGGACATTATTGGAGTAAAGCCGGAGGCTGAGCATGTATAACAATAGCATGTCTGTCAGACACTCTACTCACTAGTCGCGTATTTAAAGGACCGTAAAAAAGTAGTCCGCGTCGCTATATAAACCGTGTAAACCCCGTCTAATCATATTTCAAAGCAAAAAGTTTTGTTGCCGGACAAAAACACAAGGGAGGGTAAAAACAATATTTTATCCAAAGAAAAAATTCTTTTCAAAGCAAATATAGAGGTGGGTTCATACATGCTCAGCCTCCGGCTTTACTCCAATAATGTCCCTCATCCATCACTAAAGATTGGATGAGGGGCACATTATTTTCCGTAAAGCCTTCGGCTTTCGCATGTATAACAATAGCATATTCAAAGTGACGGCAACAAAATTCTTATAAAGATAACAACAACATACTAATCAGAACAACCAGTATATTTGAACCCACTCAAGAGGAAAAACCTCTAGTACAACAGAAAATGAAAATTTTTCAATAAACAACATATACCCTCTAAAGTAAAGTCACTTTCTAGAAAAAATTGCCTTGACAAAAGGAACATCCTCATTATTAAGTGATTGTCTACAATAAAATTTATAGAAATTACAATCTGATTTCCAATCAGCAGTCTTTAAGATAGATTTCACTGAGCATTTACCACTGTAAGCTGCTGAAACTGCTGCTGATCGGAAAGAATGCGCTTTAAATAAAGTGATATCAATACCAGAAAAATATAACACACTTTTTAACCATCTGGCTACAGTACTTGATGTTATTGCTTTATGCGTGACAAAAGAAACAAGCAACTGCCTGGATTGCCGCACGTTCTTAGTAATATTCATATAATGAAGCAAAGTATGATAAACACACAAACTTTCTGTTTCAAAATGTTCTACCTTCAAACAAAAATTGTTTCCTTTTCCAACTGTTGAAGTTTTAAGTAAACCAGGAAAATAAAACACTGCATATTTATCTTTTCTAAACACTTTCATATAATCTAAATTCAAAGAGATAAGCGTCTGTGCTCTTGTGGCACAAGCAAGAGCTATCAAAGCTGTTAACTTTAAAGTTAACTTTTTAATACACAAAGAATCCAGTGGATACCAAGAAGACAATAAATTTAAAACTTTGCCCACATCCCAAGTAAACTTGTATCTAGGTACACTAGGTTTCACATTAAAAATTCCTCTCATGAAACGACTAATAAGTCTAGGAGATCTGCACCATTTAATTCCAATGATATTAAGAGTTTGTAATAAAGTTGATTTATGAGTGTTCAACACGGAATAGGATTTTCCACATAAATGTAAAGAATATAAATATGACATTACCTCTATTTCAGTGGGCTTAATGGGATTTTTACTATACCTTTCACACCAAACACACCATTTTCCCCAGGCCAAAGAATACTGTTTTCTTGTTCCAGCTTTCCAAGATTGCAAGATAATGGATACAACTTCTGGTAAAACTCCCTCACTTTGCAAATGTTTGCTGATAACTCCACTGCGACCAAGGTCATTGATCTTGAAAAAGGATGAGTTGTCCCACAATGCGGTAAAGTCAGTAAATCCTTGTGACGCGGCAATCTGATAGGAACAGAGATCAACAGGTCAAATATTAGAGGAAACCAAAATTGTGACTTCCAAAAAGGAATTATCATAATTGCCCGTGGAACCTTATCTTCAATAATTTTATTTACCACTTTTCCTATTAAAATAAAAGGAGGAAACAAATAAGGTTCATATAAATTCCATGAAAAAGAAAAAGCGTCATTTCTAAAAGACCCTGGCTCAGGGAACCAAGATACAAACTTGGGTAATTGAGAATTGAGACGTGATGCAAACATATCAACATCTGGCATGAATAAATGAGAACAAATTCTCTTAAAAATTGTCTTTTTTAACATCCATTCTGATGAATCTGTAAAATGCCTAGAATAAAAATCTGCATGTATATTTTCTGAACCTTTAATATAACTTGCTGACAAGAAAATATTTTTATCTAAACACCAATTCCATATTTTAACTGCCAATTTATTTAACTTTAATGAATTCATACCTCCCATCTCATTAATATAACTTACTGCAGTTACATTATCAGAGAAAACTTTAATATGACAATTACTTGAACTTTCATACAGAGATTGAATCCCATAAAAAATAGCTAAAAGTTCTAGGTAATTTATTGCATATGCAGATTCATCAACCGACCAACGACCTTTAGCATGAGAATTAGAATTAACATCAACACAACCCCATCCTAAAAGACTTGCATCGGACTGGCAAAAGAAAGACACTTTTTGTGGCCTTATCCTTTTGCCATTTTTTGTATTAACATTGTCAATCCACCATTGTAATTCTGCAACACAGTTTTTGTTCAAACTGATTTTATTATCAAAATTGGAATTATTTCCCAAACCTTGAATTTTACATCTTTCTAAATCTCTATAATGGAGAGGAGCTTCAAGAACAGCATAAAATGAGTTAATAATAAGACCAATAAAAGAGGCTAAATCTCTTACAATAACTATACCATCTTTAAGCAAAGACTCTGCCTTTAGAATAATCTTCTCTATTTTTGCGACGGACGCGCCCTCAGGCGCGTTCAGAGCTAAGTCATCTACACATGGGATTTCGTTGGCTACACTCGCGCAATGTGTCCTAAACCAATTAACAGCCCAAGAAATAGTACATGAATTTGATCCTTCAAAACTCCCATACTTTGTCTGGATATCTTAATGTCTTCCATATTTAGCCTTTTCAATTTCAAATTAAGTTATCCAAGTTAAAATATGAACGTATATTATTGATAAAAACGTTGTAGTCCCGTAGTATTATTGCGCAATATGCAAATTACTGCTGAAACGATTTACCGCTGTCGAAAAAGTAGGACAGCAAATTATACTCCAATAAAGGTGTAACCTCTGAGTTCCAAGACATTATTAGTAGGAAATAAATATTTCTACATTATACAAAACATTATTATTAACAAATCAAAAGTTTTTCGTGACTCTAGGATAACTCGCGCATTAATAAAAGAAGAACTATTTTCGTGACTCATACCGCGGGTTTAGCTGAATATTCATCAGTTATTTAATTTATTAGATACAGTACAATGGCTAGTATAAATATCTATTTTTGAAAATGCATGTAAGACACTTTACCGCCATGTAGTCTTTCATGGTAAGGAAGTTATAATATCAGTTCTACTTCCGATTCTTGTGGTTTGTTTACATATTTTACTAGGTCATGATATGAGTTAACCTTCGCTATTCTAAAAATAGATTCTGCTTCACCTGTTCTGATTTTTGGACAGGCGATTAGGAAGTACACATTAAACATGTAATTAATAAACCAATACTTTTAAAAATGCTATACAATTGTAAGAAGCAAACAAGTTGAAAATGGAATTTAGTGTGAAGTTGAAAAGGACAACTAAACACTGTAGTGCTTAAGTGACATTTAAATTAAAATAAAAACGATGTGCTCTGGCCTCTACATCTTTACCTAGAAATACACTATTAATTGCTGATGATTTTAACCAATTTTTTTTAATGAGACATATCCAAGAGAAATAAAAATACAAATGACTTATATTTTATTGTCTGTATGCCCACTATGATATAACACGAATCAATTCTAAAAGGCATTCTCAAATTTATAATGTATTATGTTTGAAGTTTATTTGCCTGGATTTATTCTAGAAATATTTCGTTGATAGTTTTTTTTCTATTTACATATCATTTCTTAGAATAAATCGATAAGGACACTGATTTACAAGTTTGACCAGAGTTTTTAGGCATAAATTTCATTCTGTATTTAAGTGCTTGAAAGTAGAAAATCTGAATTATATCAATTTGGGACACAAAATATATTGCTCTACAAATCTCGAACTTGTATGGAATAAATTTTCTCTGTTATATATTTTGTGTTTTTTTTTTTGTTTTTTTTTGTTTTTTTTTTCTAAAAGAAGCCTTAATTAATGTCTCTCCGGTTGCATGTCCGTCGCATTCAGTGCTGCAGCACTTTGATTTCTTTTGGCAAGAAAACCTTGAACTGAACAGAATCTATTATAAACCCAAAGAAAACAATTTTCTGGGTTGGAATCAAAACAGACTTATCATAATTAATAACATATCCCAAAGATAATAATGTATCACAAATGACCTGGGAATGATTTAAACACACATCTTGGTTATTGTTCATATTTAGGGAGTCATCTATGTAATATGAACACCGTATACCTTGAGATCTGAACCAAGAATATATAGGTTTCAATAACTTTGTAAATACCCTTGGAGCTGCACTATATCCAAAAGGTAAACCAACAAATGAAAATAAACAATTTTTCCATTGAAATTTTAAATATTTATAAAAATCTTGATGGATAGGAACAGAGAAATATGCATCCTTTAGATCTACTGAACAGAAAAAATCTTTCTCTTGAACTAAATCTAAAACTATTTTAAAATGTTCCTGTTTAAAATGTTCATAATGCACAAATTTGTTCAAATGTTTCAAGTTAATAATTGGTCGGTATTTATTATTTGGTTTTTTGACCACAAAAATATTAGACAAAAATTGATTTGGCTCGTGTTGAGATTGCACAATGGCACCTTTCTCCAGCAACTCATCAACAGCATTATCAATAATTTTAATTTCTTCTTCACTAAAATTTATCTGATTTGGTACAGACACTTGAAAAGGTTTAGATTCAAATTCTAGAGAATAACCTTCCACTGAATTCAAAACCCAAGGATCATTTGTGAACTTTTTCCATACATTAATAAAATTCTTTAAATTACCTACCAGATTTAGTTTCCCTCGTTTGGGGCAGAACCTGAGGTTACTGTTGCAGATGGCTTAGGACCCCTCATTGAATTGTAACCTCCACGGTTATTATAATTTTGGTAGGAACCTTGAGGTACCATGTAAGGAACAGATCTTCCGCGTCCTCGATAGATATTCTGTCTTGCGTAACGACCTCTAAAATTGTTTTTTCCATAGGTCTGAAAAGATCTTTCTTTTCCTAAATTAAGACCAGCATCACAATTCTTAATCTCCTTTGACAGGTCATCTCCAAAAAGCATAGTTGACAGAGGTGATGAGATGCTACAAAGATTTTTATACTTCTTGTTAATATTTGGTCTGATGAGATAACGTCTACGTATGCTGAGGTTATACTGAACTTGACCAAGCAAGGTCAAAGAATCAGAAATTAAATGTTTTGCTTCCTGATTGGCAAGAATAGCAGGTTTAAGAATTTTGGCTAACTGTAAAATAGGAACTAATCCTGCGGCC